TGATTCCATGTTCTAGCAGAAGATTCATTATAGTTTTGCACATTTGGTGACTAGTGGAGCAAAGCCCTGGAAAGCACGTGGTGAGTTGGCCTGCTACTGCTAAAAAAGTCGCGTGCTTAGTGGTCCCATAACTGCTGAAACACGGACCTTAATGTGAATCAACAACATATATACTTGGCTTACCCGATCTCTAACGTGGCTATGAGCATCGAGTTGTCACTCGTTCATGGTGAGGAGGCCCTTGCTAATTATTTGCAGGGGCCTCTGGGATAACCCCCAGGGGTTTTCTAATAAATGTTAAGAAGCTATTTGTTTGTTCTCTCTCTCTCTCTCTATCTTGCTCTACCCCCGGACCCCTAAAAAAAAAAAAAAAAAAAAAAAAAAGCGTTGTGTTCGCGTTCGGCCCCGAACGCGAACAGCGTGCAACGCAGGTTTGCAAGAAATGTATGCAAGATTATGATAGTACGTTTTTCAGGCCTCCTCCAGGAACAAAATTCTACGCGAAGTAAAAACACCGCAAAAAAAAACATAGAAAATTACCTTTTGAGAACCACTGAAAGTGGCGAGGAGAAAAGCAGGTTTTTTCACATAAAATCACTACCTGGTGAAGTAGCGTATGTTCAAGAACTGAAATATCTCGATTTTTTATTATCTAAAAAAATCATGTTTATAGTCCTATAAGATGTATAACACGATGAACATATTCGAGGGTTTTTCGAACGCTCAAACATGTTTTCAAACATATTCTCCCATACCTGAGCAAACATATTATTTTTTACTGTTTATTTTATTTTTTTCCCCATTTCTTTTAATTTTAAACTCATGTTTGGCTAAGAATTTGAAGGTGTCTCCCTGACAAAAATTGTTTGTATTCTTGTTTTAAATAACATATATTTTTTGCTTATGGTTTTATTGTTAACGTCAAAATTCATTTAGAGTCCTCTAAATTAGTTTTCGCAGATCGTGGTTTTTACCTAACTGTTGAAAATGACTTATAGTTCTATAAATGAGTATTCACCAAAATCCATTTTTTTTAACATCTTTCAAGTTTGCCTTGTATTCCTTAAAAATTGTCCTATTTGAGGTTTGATTTTTGCAAATCTACCGAGAATGATTTATAGACATATAGGAGGATTGTGCAAGAAAGAGTTTTCTTGCACATTTTGAGAAAAAAATGACTTTTCACCTCGTTTTTTGCCTCCTTTATCGAAAAACAGTTAAAACGCTCTCTTTTTGTGTAAAAAATAACAGTTTGACTTTTACTTTTTCATTCTATAAAAAATGTGAGGTTTTCTCGTTTTGTTAGGTTTTCACGAATCCGAATCAGGACGTGGCAAGCCGGGCGCATTTGCAGGCGACGCAGTTCTTTTGAAACTTGAAAGCCAAAAGATGCCCCCCCCCTACCCTTCCCCAAAAAAGAAGGTGGCATTTTCCAGATTTTTTTTTTTTTTTTGATGTCCGCATCATCGTCTTGGAACGCCCGCTCGTCCAAAGGGCTGTGCGACGTGAGGAGAGTGCGAAGTGGCAAGCGGCCAGCCGATGTCCCAGTACACGGCCATACGGGCCCGGAGCATGGAAAATTTGCCCAAGCCCAACGGACAGACCTGGGGCTGGCAGTGTGCACTGTGGGTGCCCCTCCCATCCGGTTTTATGACTTTTCGCCACGTGGGTGCCAGTCGACAGTCCAGTTTGAGTACTGGCTGCGAAGTTCAGCGTTTGGCATCGGTAGCATCCACTGGGCCATTCCTGGGGTACCGGACACTATTGCTCAGTGACGTACGGTACCACCAAATGCCACACATGTTCCGCCACACAAGAATGGCCCCCCGCACAACACCCCACCAAGTGTCCGGGTGGACACACCTTCCAATACCGCGCCAAATGCCACACATGTTGTACCACACAAGAACGGCCTGCCACACAACACCCCACCAAGTGTCCGGGTGGACACACCTCTGGAACTGGGTATCCCTCACCGCCCATTACTTTCCGCCGCGTCCTCAATCCAGTGGTGAACAGGGGGGGCTGCCTAGACAACCTATGGGACCAGGGAAAGTCTAGTTGGCGAGAACAGGTCAGCTATGGTTGACGTTGGACCGTCTTTGGCTAGGATGGCATTGTCTCTGAGATGTAATGTCCTGGTACAGGGAGGGCTAGGAAGCCTAGGAGTTGTTCTAGGATTAGGAGGCCAGATTTGCTGATATAGCATAGTCTTCTAATTTTTTTACATACTAATCATCATCATCATCATTAGTATCATTATCTTACAGTTCACATAGAATCAGCAGAAGTTCATCATCATCATCATCATCATCATTATCATCATATGAGGGATGCTGAGCCCGGTTCTCAGCATGTTCGGTTCGGCCACTCCTGGTAGACTGTGAGGACCCCGGCCTCAATCTTCTTATTGGTAATATCGGCCTTGGGGACTGGGCCCGTTTAAAAAAAATATAAAATAAAGAAAAGTCCTGAAATTGGTGGCCATGCGGGATCCTCTTTTTCTATTACAGGTCGGGCCCTACAAAACCCTTTTTTTTTTTTTTTTTTTTTTTTTTCCCCAGAAAGGAAACACTTGATTGCTAATGAAAAGATGTTTGAGGCCGGGTCCTCACAAATCCCGGAAAAGTAACCGAAAACCCTCAACGAGTCAAAAGAAACAAAACACCCTTCCTGCCAAAACTAACCCAGCTTATTCTCTTTTAACCAGGTTGATCCGGAAAACAGGAAATCCTCCCAAGAAGGAAAACCTTCCTTGTAAGAAAGGACAAAACCCCGACTAATGCCTCAGAGTCTACTAGTTCCTATAGCAGCTTATTCCCAACAATCCTCGCAAACCAGTGTCCGGAGCTAGTAAGTGCTTCTACATGGGTTAAGTTGTTAACCTATCTAAGCCCCGAGGCGATCTGAGACATAACAGAGTCTCAGCAGGTGTCCCCACCTTTTCAACATTCCCCCTACTGCCAAAATCCACCCTCTGCCGTCCTACTGCGGATAGTGATCAACCGAGTGTTCAGGTTGTAAGCCCATGCAAGAGCCATGGCGCCAAAACCAATTGTCCCTGGTTTTTAACAGCAGCCAGTTTGTTATTTATTCCCAGACCCCAGGTTTTTAAGAACCACTTGTATCTACGCGTACCAGGTTTCTTTCTTTGGACCTTCGGAATCCTGGCCCAGTCCACCAAAACAGCTGTGCGCAGCTGATGTCTTGCTTCAGTCTGCAATCGTTGAGGTACCATTTCTTCGTATCTGAAGACTTTAGCATTCCTCCTTTGCAATAATACCCAAAGCAGGATAGACCTAGCCACTTGAGCGATATAGCCCCATCCCGTCTAAATACTCAAGTTTTCTGGGAGACGTCCTATTAAAATCCAGTCTTCACTCCAATTCACAGCATTATTTGTCAGTTTTTCCCAGTGCTTTCTCCACCAAGCCCAAGTGCTTTCTCCACCAAGCCCAAAACTCACGGGCTGTTGGGCAGTCTATAAACAGATGATGGATAGTTTCTTCTTCGGCCCCGCATTGTGGGCAGTCTTGATTCACCTCCATTCCTCTCTTACGTAACCTGGTGGTTGTAGGGATGATTCCTCGAGATAGCATCCACAAGATACCCCCATGTTTCCTGGATGGGCGAAGCTGTAACCGACAAACTGTTCCCCCAGTTTTTGCAAGTGACTTCCTTGGGAGTTATCCTGCAGTCCAAGGGACTGTAGGACTTTGAGCCAGGTCTGTTCTTCTGGCTCCATAGGTGATCTCATAAACAGTTCTCCACACTTTGGCGTGTACTCCCCGATAGTGACTGTCCTTGGCTAGGGGCCCTTTGGGGCCTGTTACCTCCCAATAAGAGCTCTGTGGGTCTCTTCGCATCTGATCCACCGAGGTACCACCACATAACATCTTCACTGGTCTTGCTCTTCCCCATCTTGGAGGAAACTCTACTCTGACAGAGTCTGACTTGTGCATTCAATTTCTCTGGTTGTTTTAAATTACTTGCCAGGCCTTCATAATGAAGGTAGTTGCCCATGCGGTCTCTTGCTAAAACCGTTCTTTTTGCTTTCTTCGGGAATTACAAAAGAAGAGAGGTGGGATCAGCCTCTTTTCTGTATCGTTCCAATTTTAACGGATGAACACTTGACCACTGGGACTGCTGAACAGTCCCAGACGGTACTTGCTGAGCAGGACCGGACTGACTAACTGGGACTGCTGACTGGGCTAGGTGGACTACCACCACTTGACCACTTGCCTCTGCTGAACACAGGCCAACTCCGAAAGGCCACTTCTAGAAGTCTCGAACTTGGCCTTTCGGTACTGTAGCAGCTACTACTTTGCCCTTTCAGGTAAGTAGCAGCTACGACCCTGACTCTTCAGGCATCCTACAGCTACGACTTTGGAACTGTCTAGACTCCTACCCTACAGGTCTACAGTTCGATTCCCTTCTAGGCTGTGACCTACGAAACCCCGCCTACCACTGGTGATCCTACAGGTCGCGGGTTCAAGTCTACGGGTTGACATCAATACTGTACACAGGTAACCCTGGGATCTGCATTCGCTACTGCGAACTGGTGATTACCGTTTCAAAAGCTGTGGTTAGAGTGGATTACCTCGCCGAGATTTCAAAAGTTTGTGGAATGCCCTTTTGGGCTTAAATCTTTGCCTCACATCCCGATCAGGGGGTTACCCAGTTTGTATTTCACCCCTGTATATATATATATATATCATATATATAAAGTTCAGCCTCCTGATGAGTCGGTGAAACTCGGACGAAACAGTTTGCCACAGCCCCTCGTTTGTTGTCCTCTTCTCCCTCTCTGCCTACGGTTTACCGGGCATATATATCGTCACAAAAAGAACTGCCCGGTAAACCGTTGGCAAGGAGAGAGAAAAGGACAACAAACGAGGGGCTGTGACAAACTGTTTCGTCGGATTTTCACCGACTCATCAGGAGGCTGAACCCTCAACAGTCTGCAGAATCCCCTCACTGATTACACTGTAAGTGATAATCTACCTTAACCTTAATCAAAGTAGACTATCACTCACCCACACCAGATGGAAAACTCTACAGACTGTCNCGGTCGTCTTCCGGTTCCTGATAGCTAAAATGAACCTTGTATTGTTTCTGCGGACGACCTCTACCTCCAGTTCTGAAGACATCCTCAGCCACTATACCATCTAGGTCATATCTTCCATCCATATCCGGTGGGATCATCGATCTACGAGATGGAAACTGGTCACTTGTCTGACAAGGTAGCAACTTCGATGCGTGGAAAACTGGGTACGTGTGGAGGTGTGCTGGGAGTTCTATTGTATAGGACGGTCCATCTTCGCCGCCCTTGACTTCCAGGACAGGCCACGGCCCTCTATACGTGGGCAGTAACTTCTGCAAGATGTTCTCCTCAGGTGCAAACTCTTTAGAACTAACCCAGACTAAGTTGCCTACTTGAAACTGTGAAGGGTGACGATGTTTGTTCGCTTGCTCTATCATCCTATGCTGGGCTTTCCTGAGGTTTTCTACGACAGTAGCTAGTTCTTTTCCGTGCTGTACAGCAAACTCCCTGGTCCCAGGCGGCAATCTGTGAATCTGATCCCGGTTGAGTCCCTCAAACGGTCTACGCGGTCTAAAGGACTTGTGCAGTTCGTTGGGAGTGCGACATGTAGACAGATGCACGCTATTGTTGTACGCACTAGCTACTTTGGGCAACATCTCATCCCAGTTAATCTGATCCGGCCTAATATACATGCGCAGAACTTGCTGTAGGATCTTGTTCATTTGCTCCGTCTGACCGTTAGTCTCTGGATGACGGCCGGACGACATCAACAACTTAGACCCATATACTCCCATGAGTTCTTGCCAGTTTTGGCTGGTAAAATGACTATCTCTATCGCTAACTATTGACAGCGGGATTCCGTTCTCACTAACCCAACAGTCAAAGAACCTCTGTATGACTAAATCAGTACGCACCTCTGAAGGCAAGGGAACAAAAACTGCGTACTTGCTAAAGCGGTCAACTATGACCATGACTTGGCTCTTGCCATGCCTGCTCTTGACTTGAGTGTCCATGAAATCTATTGACACTGAGTCTCCCGGCTGATCCGGAATGGGCAAGGGTCTGAGAAGACCTAGCGGGGCGCGCGCAGAACTCTTATTACGCTGACAGACTTTGCAACTGCGAACATACTCTACGCAGTCATTCTTCATCCCTGGCCAGGTATACGCACGCATAAGATTGGCTAAAGTCTTTTGCCAACCAAAGTGACCCTCCGTGTCATGGCATTCGCCCAAAATCAGACTACGAAAGTCTTCGCTATTGAGGATGCACAAGCGGTCAGACACATTAGTCTTCTCAAAAAGCAACCCTTCGGTAGTGCGGTAATTCGGTTCAGTCTCTCGGGCCTCCTTGACTTTCTTAAGGAGCTCACTATAGATAGGGTCGTGCTCGTAAGCTTCTCTAACTCTCTGCTGCAGGTCCTTCCCTATATCGAGGTAATGTACTATTGCCCCAAAGTAATCAGATCTTCTACCCAGAGCATCCGCGACTACGTTGTACTTCCCTTTGACAGGCTTGAGCTCAAAGTCGTACTGATCTATCTCTGCGGCCCACCTAGTAAGCTTAGGTGTCATCTTGGCCTGCGTCTTTAACCATCGTAATGTTTCATGGTCAGAATAGACTTTGAAGTGCCTCYCAAGCAAGTAGTGCTTCCAGTGGTCTAACGCTTGCCTGAGAGCGTAGAGTTCCCTCTCRTAGGTAGATGTCGCGACCTTCTCTGAAGGCATCCTGGCGGACATGAACTCTACGGGTCTATAGCCATTGCCATCGTCTTGCTGTAACACTGCGCCTATGCCGTACTGGTTAGCATCCGTAGTAACGACAAAAGGCAAGGACGGATTGGCGACTTCAAGGACGGGATACTCTATTAATGCCTGCTTTAACTTCTTCATGGCAGACGTGCAGTCCTTATCCCACTTCCAAATTGTCTCTTTTCTCAGCAATCTGCGAAGGGGCACAACGATGGTGGAGAAGTTCCTCACGAACTTCCTATAGTAGTTAGCTAGGCCCAGGAACGAGCGCAACTCTGTCAGCATACGTGGCGTGGACCAATCTCTAATCGCTGCAATCTTGTTATCTTCTGGCTTAACGCCGTCTCCGTCTAAGACGTGGCCTAGGTACAGAACTTGGGTCTTTGCCCAATCACACTTCTTTGCATTGATCTTGAAGTTAGCTTCCCTCAACTTCTCCAAGACCTGCCTTAGATGACCCTGATGCTCTTCGAGGGTCCTGCTAAACATTAGAATATCATCTGGATAAACTACAACAAACCTGTCTAACCACGGCCTAAACAAATCGTTCCTACAGCGCTGGAACGTAGCTGGCGCATTGGTTAGTCCAAAGGGCATCACTATGAACTCGTAGTGCCCATATCTAGTCCGGAAGGCCGTCTTGTACTGATCATCAGGATGTACCTCTATCTGATGATATCCGGACTTCAAATCTATCTTGGAGAAATACTTTCCCCCCTGCATTCGATCTAAGAGATCGTTTATCCTAGGCAGTGGCTCAGCATTCTTCACTGTAATGGCATTCAGACCCCTATAGTCTATACACATCCTTAGCTCTCCCTCTTTCTTAGGTACAAAGAGAACAGGGGCTCCAAAAGGAGACGTACTGGGCCTAATCCAACCCTTTTCAAGGAGCTCGTCCAACTGTTTCCGCAACTCCGCTAACTCCCGCGGGGACATCCTATACACCGCACCCTTAGGAGTTCTACTGCCAGGCTCTATCTCAATATGGTGTTGGATGGGCCGCGGCACTGTGCCTGTCGGCGGCTCAATCAAATCCTTAAACTCTTCCAGCAGCTTGGCAATCGCAGGGTCCATCGACTTTTCTTCCGTAGGCTCAGTGATCGGCCTAACATAGAAGACAAAGACCTGTTCCTCCAATCCCTCCTTCTTCACCAATCTAGCGAACGCGGGGGCACTAAGGCAGCAATGTGCCAAGGAATTCTCTACTCCTGACACATGAAACAGGCGGGCAGTCCTGGCCTCGCCCGAAGAACTAGGGAGCCTACACTCGTGCTCCTTCAGATGGAGCGTGGCCCCTGCTGCCTCTCCCCAATCCATCCCCAGAACAATATCAAATGGGAGGCTGTCTTCTACGAGGAGAGTCAGGGAGTGGAGGACCTTCTCCACTTTCCCATCCTTCTCTAGTCGGAAATATGCCTGGACTCCCTCTACGTAATCCTCTACAACCATAGTGCGGTTGTCGGCGAGGATACTAACTATGGGGTCTGCTAGCTTTTGGACCTTAAGTCCCAGCTTCAACTTCTGCAGCGCTTTCTTACTGATATACCTGCGGGTGGCCCCTGAATCTACTAGGGCCCCTACTCTACTTCTAAAGATCTCTGTATCTAGTAAAATGAGCTGCCCTTTTTGCTCCTTCTTCATCTTGGACCAGGCGGGCATCCTCTCCTTCAACTCTTCGGCCACGCCTGTGAGGGAGGTGTCTAGCGAAACTCTAAGACAAGCAGTTTCGGGACAACTGTCTAGACACCGGCCTGCAACCTCTGCTGTAGGCATATGTGGTGTGGGAGTCTCCTGCCGGCTAGCGCTATTTTCCCCATATGGCCTAGTGGTAGGGGCAGTTGCTACCCCTACCGGCGGCTGCCTTTTGGCCCTTGGGCAGCCGTTCGGGTCTCTCTATACTTAGGACAGTATTTGATGATATGGCCCGGGTCACCGCAGAAGATGCACTGGCCCCGGTCCAATCGTTGTTGCCATAAAGTATGGTCCAGACCCAAAGATTCCCAAGGCCTACCCTGCGGTAGCCCTGGGTGCCATCCTCCTACTCTATAGGGAGACCTATTCCTAGGATGGTTTTGCGAGGGACCTTGACCCCTGCCTCCCGCTTGGCGGTTTCCTCCTCTGTCGCCAACCCCCTGATCGCCCTGAAACCGGCTCCCTGAGGCCCGGCCCCCTTGGCCCTGGCCTCTTCCTCCTTGCGGCCTCCCTCCAGCCGCGACAGCAGCGTAGGATCTCCCCTGGCCCACACCGCTCTCCTCCTCCTCTAGCCCCCACTCAATCTGATCGTAGGGAATCTCATCCACACTACCCTCATCTAAAGTCAGGACAAGGCTATCCTTGGTCTTTACCTGCCCTGAAATAGTGCGGTCTTTCCATTGCTTTCCCTTGTCCAAATCCTTATGCCAAAAGGTGGACAGGGATACTGACTTCGCTTCAAAAGCCACCACCTCACGACTAAGGGAATCGTAAGTGGTGGCAGGGTCTTCGCTCTTCGCGAAGAACTGCCCTCGAAAGGCTTCAGGCATAACCCGGTAAAAGAGGTTGACCAAYTGGCCCTCTGTGACCCCATGGTCAGGGACGGCCACCAACTCATCCATTGTACCCTTGAGTGCCCTGRCACTCTTCCATTTACGAGAATGGATGGTTTGGAGCTTGTCTGATGCCTTGACACTGCGAGTGACATCAGCAAATCGCTCGCGCAACAACTTCAGGAATTCGGTGAGGGACGTAAATGAGGAGTATGCAACGAGATCATCACTACAGTTGGCAGCGCGAACTAGGGACCTTGCAAAACTGGCGGCCTCATCTTTCAGCGCGTGGATAGCAATTAGGACTTGCTGATCTGCGGAGACCTGTTGCAAGTGCACATAGGTCTTAACGTTGGCCTCCCAATTGTCAAAGTTTTCCTCCCTCTTCCCACTGTAGGAATTAGGGAACTTGACTTTGACAGGCTCCCGGCGAGGAGGACGTGATTCCTCCTCCTTGGGATCTGCCGCCTTGATGCCTTCAATGGCGCCAGCGCAAAACCGCTCAGTCTTGTCGAGGCGGTGACCCACCTCGGCTCCAACGACGCCTACCAGCTCACGAGCAAAGTCTCAAAAGCCCAACAGTATCGAGCGCATAGCTATGTCTTGACTTCTGCTAAAGTCATATTGGTTTACCTGAACCCGTGCCAGGCATGCGACGCTCCGAGCTATGATTCGCATCTGATTCGGGAGATCGGGCTGGGCGGCTAATTGTGCCTCTATCTTCTTCACTTCCTCTAAGGCCTCTGCCGCCTCCGTTGCCTTGTCAATTCTCCTCTTCTTCTCCCTCATCACCGCTAATTTCCATTCCATCCTCTTCTCGTCTTCCAACGCTTGACGCTTAAGAGGGTTTTTCTCTGCATCCCAAGCCTTCGTGGCAGCTTCTTGCTGATCCTCCGGGATATACATACTTACCTCTTCCTCTTCTCCCACAGTCAAGTTGGCAACCCATTCAGATATCCTCTTCTCCAGGTCTCCACCGGTACTACTACTGGGCTGCCCACTACTCCTTTGCAGTGGCGGACCATCCTCTTCTTCATCCACTGCCTTCAGTTTCTCTTCTTCTTCCCTCGGGACAGTCGAGTCGTCAGACACAGATCATCAGCTTTAATAGGTCCGGTAGGGGAGTGGCTCAACCAGGCCTCAACACTTAAAGACGACCCTCGTTTCAGCCTACAACCCGGAGTTCAGACCCTCTACACTGAACTCAGTAGACCTGCCGGACAGTACCGGTCATTGGGCTAGACGAGTTGTTTAACGAGCGCTCGCCGCTCATGCCCAGGTCTCCAAGTGCCAGAGTTGAGCTTTGGTCCTACTAAGCCCGTGTAGGTTTGGCAGCAAGGCCCTATCCTTCATCCACAGAGTCCTAGCACCTAAGACAGAAGAGACTCAATGCAGAAAGAGTAGACAGACAACTCAGGAAGTACCGTGGGGTAAGTGCACATCCACAGGGTAAGGGGATAGGTTGAGGAGTCAACGAGATATCACCACTCCAGCTTGGTCAAAATCTTGGTCAGCAGCCCCGGTCAACGCCTTGGTCAACGCCGAGTCAACGCGGGCAACCCCCAGTCAACACTTGGTCAACACCCTCGGTCAACGCTGGTCAACCCTCTGGTCAACGCTCCGGTCAACGC